GAGGGTGGCCGAAGAGTGGCGGGAGAGACCCAGAGGGCAGCAGTGGGGAGGAGAGGCAGGGAAGATGAGGCAAGAGAGCAGGCGATTCCGCAACTCTTAGGTGCCTTGTTTTGCGTGTGGCTACTCCAGAACCAGGCAACCTTTCAGGGCCCTGGAACCCGACCAGTTCCGGGATTTCTTTCCGGGGCATAAGGTGTTAAACTGTGGGTGGGAGTGGGGTCCGGAGTCCCTCCTCCTTCCCTCCCTCACAGCGTCACCACCACAGAGTCCACCAGGCTGGCACTCAAGGAGTTAAGTCTGCCCGCAATCTGCAAGACTGGAGCCGCGGAGGGGGAGGAGGGGGAAGCAGAGGGGGTAGAGGAAAAGGGGGAAGCAGACTGCAGGGAGACAGCGCCAGGAACCCCTTCCCCAGGGTCCTGGCCCCTGGGCCCCCAGCCCCAAAAGAGGCCCTGTCCTCCCCGGGGTCTTGCTCTCTCCCCCCGCCCTGCCCCCGCCCTCCAGCTTTGTGTCCCCAGGAGGGTGGGCTGCAGGATTTCCAGCCAAGCCTTGGCTGCCTGCTCAGTTTTTCCAAACCCTCCAGTCAGGGAAGGCGGGAGCCCTGTCAGGATAAGAGTCCCTCCCCCCTGCCCCTGCCGGCCCCCTCTCTCAGCCTCCCTTTCCTGCCCCCGCACCTCTTCCAAACTCCTTCCCGTTCCCACAATGGCCCCTGCGCCCCCTAGCACCCCCACTATGGGCTCCCAAGTTGCAAGCTCAGGTTGGAAGGGACCAGGCGGGTCCCACCATCCTGGAGAGGCGCTGGTGAAGCCACACTCCTCAGGCCGACCCTGAGACCCGCGGGGCACCCGCCCGGCTCTTCTCCACTTGGCGCCCGCTCCATCCCAGGCCCTGGCCCTGGGGTCTCCCGCCCTGGAATGGAGGCAGAACCCGGCAGCAGGCTCTGTGCGGCAGGTGCCAGGCCCTGGGGCAGACTTCGAGGAGGGGGCAAAGTGTTCCGAGCGCTGGCAAGGTTCTGTCCAGCAAGTCTATTATATAATAATCACCATCTATCAGGAAGCCAGGCAGCTGGAGTGAGTGGGGAAGCCAGGATGCCCGGATCAGCTCTTCCTCCAGGGCCCAAGAAGGTGTCGCCACCAAGATTGGGGTGTGGGCTCAGCCCAGCAGTGAGATGATATGGGGGGTCGAGGGGCAAGTGAGGGGCGCTGGGCGGTCAGACGGCGGCCCCGCAAACCCCGCCCCCAGACCTCTGACTGACAATGCCCTGAGCCAATGATTGAAGTCACTGTGGGGCTCTGCGTTAACTCTTTCTTGGGTCCCTATTTGCTTTAGGCGATAGAGTCCTTTCCAGGAACCCGTCTGGCTGGACTCCTCCCACCTTCTCGGGGTAGTGCTCCAGCCGGTGAGGAGTACCAGCTGGAGAATCCTTTTGTCCTAGTAACCCCGGCAACGCGATGCCTAATCGCAGATATCGGCAGCCCTCGCGCTGACCCCCAGCAGCCCCAAAGTAAATTGTATTACAAGATACAGTTGTGTGTACACGCTGTGCTTCCAGAAACAGCCCATCGCGGCGTTGGCACACCCACACTGCGTCACGAACAGGCACCCTCACGCACCCATACCCATGAGGGCACTTCTACTGACGAACGCCGACACCGACACTCGCGGACACACCTGTGACACCCCTCGTGACACAGTGACACACAGATACGCGGAAACATAGAGGTTCCCCGAGTTGGCCAGTAGAGGGAGCCGCTCGATTCCTGCAATGGGCCGCCTGCCTGTCTCCTTTCCTCCCGGATCTCTCCAGGGTTCCACCCAGAACTTGTGGCTGCCCAGAGCTCAGCTCCGCATCCCAACCTGGAACCTCCTCTGGGGGAATGAGTCACAGCCCCACCCAGGGGAGCGCTCCGCATGGCTGCTCCATAGGACATGTATTGTGCACCATCTAAGAGACCCCTGGCAACACAGACCTACTCGCCCCTGAAAGCAGTTTTGGACCTAGTATGAACCAGGAATTGTGCCAAAGGGATCATACATAACACATCCCTGTGGCTTGTCATATATGTAAGGGGAGACTGATCCACATAAACGCAGTGGCCACCTCTAAAAGCACCCTGTTCGAGAAGTAGCCCATATTATGCCTTTCTGGAGAGAAGACAAGAAATTAAACCTTATTTCCATGGGTCAGATACTAGCCTAGGTGCTGGGATCTTTCACACTAGAAGCCTCTCTGGGCCTCAATTTTCTTTTCTTTTAAGGTGGGATAAAACCGACTTCTTAGGACTGTGGCGATTCAGCCCCCTAACCCAGCACAGTGCTTGGCACAGCAGGTAGTTGGCACTTGGAAAAGTTTTGGTGATTGGGTTAAAGCATCATCATGAGACAACGTGCATGAAAATTTGTAATTTTTAATTTGTAAGTGGTGATGGCACACACGGGTGATTACTATGTTATCTTCTACCAGGTTTGTGCCCCCTTCCACCTGTGCCTCCCTAGACCTTGTCCAGTGCCCAGCTGTTGGCACTATCAACTCATCAAGTCAGTATTTACTGAAGTCCTACTATGAACTCAGCCACACTTGAGTATTATGGGGAATGTAGAAGATAGAAGGCATGGTCTGGGCTCTTAGGGATCTTCTGGGGACAAACAGACACGTGTGCTTATATGTGTGTGTGTGTGTGTGTGTGTGTATGTCAAGATAAAACACATGAGGAATACTCTGTTAGATGCTATGATGGGATAGGTGGTCAGAAGAGAGGGAGGTCAATGAAGCTAGAGCTATCTGGGGACCATCTGTGAGGTGGGGCAGGGAAAAGGGGACAAGGAAACAGCAGGAACAAGCAGGCTGGCTTAGTGTCCTTCCTACCAGACAAATTCAATGCTTGTCACTTGGTATTAATTCTGGGTGGGTGGTGACAGTAGGAAACAGGGAAAGTCCCCAGGGATAAGGAGACCCAAATTCTAGTTCTGGGTTTACTACTTTGTAGCTGGGTAGCTCTGGGTAAGTCCTTAGGTAATACAAACCTCAATTTCCTGACCTCTGTAATGGGAACATAATATCTTTCTTGCAGGTTTGTGGTGAACATTAAAACGTGAAACGTTTTTAAAAAGTGCTTTGGGGCCGGGTGTGATGGCTGATGCCTGTAATCCCAGCACTTTGGGAGACCGAGGCAGGTGGATCACCTGAGGTCAGGAGTTCGAGACCAGTCTGACCCACATGGTGAAATCCCACTCTATCAAAAAGTTTTTAAAAATTAGCTGGGCGTGGTGGCAGGCACCTGTAATCCCAGCTATTCAGGAAGCTGAGGCAGGAGAATTGCTTGAACCTGGGAGGCAAAGGTTGCAGTGAGCCAAGATTGCGCCAACTGCACTCTAGCCTGGGCGACAAGAGCAAAACTCCATCTCCAAAAAAAAAATTAAAAAGCTGGGCACAGTGGCTCACCCCTGTAATTCCAGCACTTTGGGAGGCCAAGGCAGATGGATCACCTGAGGTCAGGAGTTCAAGACCAGCCTGACCAACATAGAGAAACCCCGTCTCTACTAAAAATACAATATTAGCTAGGCATGGTTGCACATACCTGTAATCCCAGCTACTTGAGAGGCTGAGGCAGGAGAATCGCTTGATTCTCCTCCAGGAGGTGGAGGCTGCAGTGAACTGAGATCTCGCCATTGCACTCCAGCCTGGGCAACAAGAGCCAAACTCCGTCTCAAAAAAAAAAAAAAAACGTGCACTGGGTCTGCACTGGCTCACACCTATAATCCCAGCACTTTGGGAAGCCAAGGCAGGCGGATCACCTGAGGTCAGCAATTAGACACCAGCCTGGCCAACATGGTGAAACTCCGTCTCTGCTAAAACTACACAATTAGCTAGGCATGGTGGCAGGCGCCTGTAATCCCAGCTACCTGAGAGGCTGAGGCAGAAGAATCGCTTGAAGCTGGGAGGTGGAGGTTGCACTGAGCTGACACCAAGCCATTGCACTCTAGCCTGGGCAGCAAAAGCGAAATTCCATCTCAAAAAAAAAAGTGCTTTACAATTTATTTTTCATGCATCGATCGTCCTATAGCGTGGTGAGAGTGTGTGTGAGTGTGTGTGTGTGTGAGAGAGAGAGAGAGAGAGAGAGAGAAGCACTTTGAGGTTAGGTTAGGAGAGTTCTTTTGAGAAGACAAAGGTTTCACTTCCACAAACATTTTCTTAGCATCTACTTTGTGCTGCTGAGGATTGAGATGAAAAAATTCATTCTGTGTCCTCAAGGACCTCATGGTCTACTAGGAGAGGCATGAATAAAGAGATGTTTAGTGCATTATGGATGTGCGTGGATACAATGAAGAGGGGACCCAGTGCTCAGTGCTGTGTGTGTGTGTGTGTGTGTGTGTGTGTGTGTGTCCAGGCAACTTCCACTCCTTCCAATCAGTGCAGATAGGAAGGTAGGTTTGTCAAACCTTTCCCTAGCCTGGGATGTTGTTGGCGCGTCCCCTCCCCAATCCTCAGGAGTGGGGAGGAGAGAAGGCTAGAAACCCCCCTCCCCGTCCCCGGGCCAACCTGCCTCCCGCTAGCCGGTCGGGCGCCTTACCGAGTCAGACCACTGGGAGGCTGGGGGAGCCGGGTTGGGCGAGGAGGCAAGCGAGATGGGAGAGCTCTTATTTTGACAGGGGCCTCTCCGGGCTCTGGTATGAAGGCAGAAGGAGGCAGCCAGAGAGCCCCGATGCTTATTCAGGCTGGGGAGTGGAGCCGAGTGGAGGGGCGATTGAGGCTCCGGCAGTGCAGGGGAGCCCGGGGAGGCGGCGGCGCGCGGCGGAGCCAGTGGCTGGACATGCCCCGGACCCGGGGCCGCTGCATTACCGCCGCCGCCCGGAGCCAGCCGGCCGGACGCCCCCACGCCTGGGTCCCCCGGCGCCGCGCCGCCCGGGGGCTGCGACCCGGACCCTCGGCGTCCGAGCAACAATAAGCGCCCAGACATCCCCCTCCTCGCCCAGCGCCCGCCATCCTCGCGGGCTTCGGGGAAAGTGAAAGGAGGAGGCGAAGGAAGGAAGGAAGGCAGGAAGCAAGCCAGGGAGGAGGAGCAGGAGCCGGAGCCTTCTGAGGTTCGGGGCCGAGACCCCAGCCCCGCGCCCCGGCCCCGGCGGGTGTGCGCGCTCTCCCGCCGCTGCCCGGCGCCCACGACCATGCTTCACGGTTGGGAGGCAGGAACCCAGGCGCCCAGCGATCCCCGGATAGCCTCTCCCGGGCCGGGCTGGTGTTGAGATCAAGGCGTCCAGGATCAAAAGATCACTGACTGCCCGCCCCCTCTGCATCTCCAACTGGCGAGCAGGAGGACCCCCATTCACACACCGACCGTGACCTGGTCATGGCGTCCAGCTCCGGCCTGGCGTGAGGACCCCCAAATCCGCGTGAGGTGAGGGGTGGGCTGGGGGCAAGGCGAAAGTCATGCCAGGCCAGCAGAGGCGCGAGAAGGGAGATCCAGTCTGAATCGGGGAGGGGGAACACAGTCTGATTGTCTCTTGCTCTTTGGCACGTACCCCCAGGCTGTTTAAGGTGTGGGGGATGCCCCCAGGGTCAGTGGAGGCTACTTTTAAGCCCCCAATCAGGTTTGCAGCTCCAGAACACAGTGGGGAGGGCTTAGGGGTAGCCAGGGGACCCTGCCACCCTAGCGCAGAGAACAAGGCCGGCCTTGGGCCAGCTGGAGCAGCGAACCTTGCCCTGGGGGCTTCTGGGAGATGTAGTCCCCCTCCCAGGCTCACCAACCCCTTGGGTCTCAGCACCCCCGCCCTCCTCCCCTGGCTGATGGAGCCTCCAGAAGGAGGTGGGTTGGGACTGGGAAGAGCTGGGGGTCACCCTTTTCCCCAGGCACTGCCTATGAGTGGCGGGGGCTGTGACTGAGGAGTCTCTTCTTCCAAGGCTTCTGAGTGATGTGGGCTTGGCTGGGGGGTGGGGCAGTCATACAGTTCCTTGGAGGTGTCCCTGCACTGCTAAGGGGAGGTGGCCCCTGCCTTGGTCCAAAGGAACCCTCGGGGAAGAATGCAGGAAGAGAAGTGAGGCTGAGGCTTCTTGCTTGGCTGGGGTAGGTCCTATTCCAGGGCTACTGGAATTTGCTTTCAGAAGCGACCGAGGGCTACTCTTTTCTGAGAAGGAGAGTGTCCCTTGAAGTCTAGGAGTCTGGAGGGTGTCTCTCTGGAGCAATGAAGCTAGGATCAGCTTCTGTCTGTCTGTCCAGCTTCCTTCCTTCCGGGTTTTTCTGACACCCCCTTCCTCCCTCCTCTTTCTGTCTGTCTGCTGCTTGGGGTGTGTGTCTGTGTCTGTGTCTGTATCTGGGGGAGACTATGCTGTGGGGAGGAAAAGTATTGCTAAGAGAGGTGACTTGGGCATGTGTTTGAGCCCTCAGAAAGGGGCTCCAAGGCTCCTTGGATCTTTTGCCCTCGCTCTCAGCCTTGGTTTAGGGTGAAAGCTGTCTGTGCACTGTATCTGCTCTAACCCTGCTGCTACCTCTGAGCAGCTTTCTGGATGAGACCGCCAGGGTGAGTGGG